TAGCATTTTCTAGAATGTCTCAGTGTTCATGCTGGTGATTATGTGTAGTTGGGAAACACTAGTATGGAAATGAGCTGATGAATATTAGAGCTACGCAAAGCTCTGCCATTCTGATTCAGCTCACAATGCTTATTGTCATTCGGTTTTGTTATAAGTAGAATCAAAGATCCCAGCTCAGGCTTTAAGCCAGAGCTTTGGTTAAAAAAATGAATTCGTAAAGGTTTATTTGGTTTCAACCTGTGTTATCTTTTTCACTTTTGTCATTCCTCCCATATTTTCAAATCTTTCTCCCTCAACTTTTACCCACTCAGATTTTCACTTGCTCTTTCCTCTAATCTTTTAACCCCTCACTCTTTTTCTTGCTCAGTGCAAAGCTATTGCCCACTCCCTCAATAACTCAGGGCAAAGCTTATGCAGGATCTGAGATCCAATTCAGCTACTCAGTATCTGCTCTTTCAGCCAGCAGCAAGGGAGAAGGAAGGAGTAGGGACTGGGCTAGGATTAGGCAGAAGTGAGGGACTACTAGACATATGCATTAATAAAGAAAGTAATTGCAAGTAGTAGGTGGCTAGAGCACAGCAGAGGGAATGGAGTCAGAAGACAGAATGGACCTGTATCTAGAGTAGTAGGTGGTACTCAAGGTGGCTGGAAGACAGAGGATGGAGTTTTTAGGAAACAGAAGGGTATATGCAAAAAGGAGTGAAGTGAGGTGAAGACAACAGCATACGAATAGTCCCTCTGAAGTCTCTCCTTTCATCCAGGAATAGGAATTTTGCCCACAAAATTGATCCTTCCAGAACAGTGGGGGACAGCTTGCCCTGCCACTGGGTAAACTACACGATACACGGCTGGAAAATTTCAGTTGGCAGTTCTGCTAATCTGTCTTTTTTCATTAATTTTAAATGAGTGATTTTTTAAAAATATTATAAATCCATAATCAAGTTGCCAAAATTAACTATGGTAATTGTTCCTAGAATTCATGCATCTAAATCAAAATTAAAAGGAAAAGTGTGAGGAGGTGATGGCATGTCACTAGGACCTCTTAGAATAGCACATGCTTACACTATTCCTGCTTGCTTGATTCAGGAAAAGGGAGTTAATTTAGTTTCACAGAGCAGCAATTAACTTGGGGCCTGATTCTGCCACCTTTCTTTGTCGGTCAATTAATGTGACTCAGCAACACAGAATCTGGCCCTACAGAGTAAATGGCAGAGCACCTGGCCCTATATGTCTATACATTTTTCCCTAGTGTAGATGCTTGTACATTTCACACTTTTGTGAAAGTGGATAAAGAACCATATAATGAGAAGGAGAGTAACAGGGATGAAGGACAGCCAGAATCCCAGTTTAGCTACTCTGATCTCTCACTGTTTGCTACTACAAAACCGCTAAATTATATCTGGGCTACTTTTAAAGTAAATAATAGAACTGAAAAAATGCTCACTGTACAGGCACAATTTTGATACAAGAATTATTCAAAATCACATTCCTCCTGAATGAATGTGTCTACCCTAAAATAAAAGGCTAGTGGCATGACTGTGGCTGGCCCAAGTCAGCTGACTTGGGGTCGCAAGGCTTGGCCTTGCAGGATAAAAAATGTTGTGGAGGCTTAGGCTGGAGCCAGGGCTTTGGGACTCTTCTTACTCATGCAGTGCCAGAGCCAGAGCTCCAACCAAAAGCCTGAACATTTACACGACTATTTTACAGCCCCATAGCCAGTTCAGCCACTGGTATTTAATTGCTCCATAAACAATCTATGAGGCCAGATTCTGCTTGCCTTACTCAGACAAATAATCCCATTGGCTTCAATAGGAGCTATGTCTGAGAAAGAAGTGCAACATCATCCCTTTCTAAGTGAAAGCATTACGAAGCACCAATCACTAGAGAAAACATATCAATAGTCCAGAGAAATCATGGACTATTGACACATCCATTTCTTTATCTGTTGAAAAACTTTAGAGCTTAACCTTGATGTCTCAGATCATCACAGGTTGTAAATAAAGGTATGAAATACAGCATAGACATATTGGTCTAATCTAAAGAAAAAAAAGCCCTAATTGTTGGCGTTGATTCTGTTCTCCGGCATGGACCAAATTCTTTGCTGGCATAGTTCTGTTGACTCGAGTTGAACTCTGTCAGTTTATACGAGCAAAGGATTGAGCCTATACTTCGAAACTGTCTTAATACAAAAAAAATATTTTATTAGTTTTTTTGTACTTTATGCTCTAATTACTTAGCAAAGCCATTTTCAATTACTAAATAACATAGAAATCTCAAAACTTTAATACCAAGAAAATAAAAATTACTACTATTTTTATCGCATTATCAATCTCGCTATGGAAAAAAACATTAGCGAGAGAAAATGTAGGAAGCTCTGCTCTTTTAACAAACATATCACGTTCCCACTACAATGTTCAAAAGTCTAAATAAACCAAGGAAAAAGTACTAATCTAATAAAGCTCTATTTAAAGAAAATTATTAAAATGTCAGGTGTTAATTGGTTTGTGATATACAATATCACTGTTTATATATTCAGCAGCTTACCAGCTCTGAAACCATAAATGTAAACAAAAATGAACTACATCACAAGATTTTATTTTTTTACTGAAGTGTTGTGTTAATTATCTTACCTCAAGAACAATAGAAAGAAATCAGGTATTATTGATTGTAAATCTTAGTTATTGTCATGGCTATATTTTCTCTCATTAATGAAGCTTCACCCCCACCAAGCCATGAGTCACAAATGGGGGTTAAGCTTCATTAATAAGAGAAAATATAACAAATACATTACTCTCTGAACTCGAGCCGATCCCATATTCCTCATTCAGGATAAACAGCCACTGATTCTAGTGGGAGTTTTTCCCTGAGTAAAGAGTAAAGAAATAGGGTCCCTTGGGCTAACTCATTTGCCTTTCTCAGCCATGTAATCCCATTGAAATGTTGACACTATTCACACGAGTGAACTGAGAGGATTTTGGCTGATACTAGTAAAAATTATAAGAAAACATGACCTGTAAGCCAAGTGGCATCTTCATTCCCACTAAGGACTTTTATAATTATATATAGTTGTCTCAGTGGGCTTTGCCGTAGAGCTTCACTAATTTGTGCTAGTGGCTGGGACATTGTAAATTAGTGAATAATTCAAATTAATAAATAAGGCTGTAGTCCTGCAAATCTTAACATGAGCAGTTTCCTTTGACTTCACTCTGACCACATGAATAGTAATTATCGACATCATACTTAATGCTAAAGACATCTTCTCCTGAATAATGCTGGCCATATTAATACCAAATAGACAGATTCTGTCTTCCATACTCTTGTTGTGTAGTATATAACTCTGGGAACAGCAGTACAGAAATTAAGAGAACTGCTGAGAGAGCAAGATATTATGTTGTGTGAGTATGCATGGCAGAATCTAACTTTTGGTGATTAAACACTGCAAAGAAAGCAAGGAGAATGAATAATATTGTACAGTACTCCTTTGTCAATAGAAAGTTATAATAATTAAGTCACACTCCATTGTATCCTAGTAAATGTAAAAGTAGTAATATGAAACTCCACTGTAGCACCTGCTATTAAACTTTTGCTCAGAGGTAAGGAAAGGCCACCAAATTGCGTGTGAACTACAAAACAATTGTGGTATTTGAGAAGGGAAACTACAAAGGTTAAAAAAAATCAAGTAATTGAGCTTAAAATAAGACCCTAATCACACATTGCTAGTTCTGCATGCACTCATAACAAAATAGTTACATCTAATTATTAAGAAGCCGTGAAATAATTCAGTGAATTCAGTGAGTCTCTTGAATTTGCAGCTTCTTCCTTGCTTTAAAGAACATGTGTTCAGGACAGTGAACAGGACAGGGACCCTTCAGGCACTCAGTAAGTTTCCTTTTCAACGCTGAAAGTTGGCAGCTCCCTTGCCACAACACTGTCCATTGCTTATGAAAAGCAGCTGTATCTGGAAGTGCTACTAGTGCCTGATTGTATAAGTGTATAGATAGAGCTTGCATAGTTTTGCTTTGAAAAATATTGTTTTTATATAATTAATCATTATAATGCACCATTCATGTTGAGACCAAAAGACAATAGAGAGCTGATGACTTAAAATGCTAATTTACTGTTCAGGAAACATGAATGTAGATGTTTTTCAGTCAGATGTGTGTGTATCCAAAGCAGGAAAGGAAAAGGGAGAGGAAGCAGTTGTTCACAGCCAAATTGGGTTCCCATTCTACTTCTGTAAGTGAAATTCCTTTTTATTTCAGCTTAACTTTGCCTTCCCATCCTAAGGGCTGTCATTCTGTTCCCAGCCTAGCATGGCCCTGACCAAAGAAAACATCTGCAAGCATTGCGGGTGTCCCAGAGTGAGTCTCACCCTAATGCACATAACTATGCCCAAGGATTTTATTAAAATATTGGACGAGCAAGCCTTCTGACCCTCATTAATACATTTTCACGCAAGATGATTTCTCCAGTTCAAATCTCCTATTTGAGATTTTATGATGGGTTTCATTTTATTACTAACAACATCATTTTCACGTTGAGCTCTGATTTGACATCATCTGTCCAAACTTGGCTTATTTACTAAATTAATAACAAGCAACTACATCCTTTATTCATTATGATTAATGGTTTTATTTCCAGCTGTCTTTTTGAGCAATTCCAGCAGAGAAATGCTCAAGCCACTCATTTTTTAAGATTAGTGACCCGTTAGTTAATTTTTGATATCTTAAAGAAAAATAAAAGGTTTAAAATTTTATAATGTATCCCTCTTACATTTACTCCTCTAAAACAGTATGCTGTCTTTGACAGTCTTGGAAAAGTGAATTCACTTCATTTTGGAAGAAAAGCTCTATCAAGAAGAAAGGGACTAAAAATCTGACTTTAATAGATTAATGTTAAATGTTAGACCAACGTGAAGTAGGGAGAGGCAGAGAGAGAGATCACATAAAAACATCATTTACACATTAGTGAGAGAAGTGTGCATACAAATCGCTTCCTACCTCTCCTTGCCGATGATGATGTTTTGGAGGTTTTCCCATCTGCCTGAGAAGCTTGCCCTTCTTACTCGCGAGTGCCAGTCCCTGGTGGATGCCTGCAGATCTGTTGGTTGCCTGTGTTGGAGCCTCCCCCATCAGGGTGGATTTGATTGAGTTCACCTTGGAGCTGGAGCTGTCTAGCTGGGAGCTCTCCACCATCAGGATCACGGCTAGTAAGAGGAGACAGCAGGAGTACTTATTCCATATCAGCATCATCATCTCCCCCTCCCCACCAAAAGAGGGATTTAAAAAACAGCAGAGGGCTAAAAAGAAAAAAAAACTCCCAAGGTTTGTTAACAAAACAACTCAATTGATTTCAATGCCACACGCTCAGGAAACGGCCGTCCTGGGAGAGACAGGAAAAAGAATTGCCTAAAAAAAAGTACAGTCTATAGGAAATGAGCAACAGTCAGATCAAGTTAAGTGACAGCTTTTTCCTCCAGATTCTTGAGAAGTTCAGGAATTGTTTTAGTGACTGGGAGCAATAAACTATGAGGCAATTGCACCCAGGAAAGCTTCCCACCAGTGGAGTCACCCCGCAGGTTTGCTCAAGCTTCAGACGAAGAGTCAGTTACTTATTTCCCCCCACTCCTCCTCTCTTGCTACACAAGTCAGCAGGGAGAAAACTCAAACCAGATCCAATCCAAGCAGCACCGTCAAGGGCTGGGATTAGTTTTGTTTCTCTCTCCCTCCTTTTTATTCCCCTCCCTTCTTCTTTTTCTTTCTTTTGCCTCAGCCTCTGTAGCCAGTGTTTGTGAAAGGACACGTTCTCCTCCACTTCCTATAGACTAGCTGGTGCTGGGATTCAGGGCTCCAGGCATCTGGCAGACAAGCAGACAGGGTGAGTCCTTGGGACTGGAGACCTGGAGTCAAGATCACTCACACAGGCAGAAACAAACAGACATCTAGACAAACTCACTGAGTTCCTTAGCACAGATCTCTACACACAGAGTTCTCTGACAGTCTCTCACTTTACTCTAGTCTCCCACAGCCCCCTTTACTTTTTATAGCTTTCCACAATGGATTTCTCTTTCCTCCGCCCCCAGTTCAGAGTGACAAAGAATGAAACTGACTCTTCTCCAGCCTTTGCCCCTTGCACCCATCTTTCCAACAGTAGAACTTTCTTCCCATTTTGGCAAGGAGACAGAAGTTGTAGCCCCTGATTTTAGGAACATGGGGGGCTGTGTCTCTCTGTTTCTCCTGGAGTGACCAGCACACCTCCTGGACACATGTACATACACTGTGTTTCAGGGGATCAGCACAGTCAAGGACACATATCCCTTTTTCTGGACTATTGGGATGGCTAAAATTTTGGCACCAAGGGATGGCATTCAGAGAAATCAGGAATTTTAGTGAAGTCCATGATGAATTCATGCTGCTTCAGTGGCTCCCTCGTCAGGGTCTGGGCCCAGCTGCATAGGCACCGGAGACAGAGTGGGGGAACAAAGGATCATTCTGCCCTCCAAACCCCGCCACACACAAACACACTTTTGAAAACCTGCTGGGAGGAAATGAACTGCAGCGTGGCCCAGCCAGCCAGCCCCAAGGTCCTGCTCTCTAAGTTATGCGGTGTGCAACATTTCGGCCAGCTCCTGCTCAGCACTGTGCAGTTGAACTCAATTGCTGACTGCTGAAATGACAGCAGTTGCTCTTTTTGGCACCAGGGACTGGACAGATCTAAGGTACAGGATGGACCAGTCACTTGAGGTCCTAGTCTTACCAGCAAGGAGAATACGAGGCAGTGGAGAAGAGGGACAGGGCTCCATGAGGGTTCAAGCTGGTGGGAAAGACTCCCTTAAGGGCTCTGAAAGTGTCACTGGGTGAAATTTTTGTGACCCGCCCCCCCATACTCCTGCTGTGAAATTTACTTTAAAAACCTGTTCTAAAATTGTAGTCTTAATTATCTGGAATGGGAATAAAAGTTGCATTCTGCCTGAAAATGATACATTGTTGTATATCCTGCCAATATGTGTACCAAGGTCCCCAAAATTCCACTAATTAAAAAAATGACCAATCATTAGTAGTGTGAAGAAAAATTCAGTAATATGATACATCTTGGTATTGTAGTTTTAAAAAAATCCACAGATCACAGATATAAATCTTTGTCCTGCCAATTTTTGTGCCCATGTCTCTAAATTCCTTTGTCCGAATAAAGAACACCTTCAACTATTATCAGTGCACCAAAAAATCCTGAATATGGCACATTTTTGGCACTGCAATGCCACAAGCTTTTGGATGTGAGATGCGGATCCTGGCAATTTTGGCACCCCAGTTCCCCAAATTCAACCATCTAAGAACACATCCAACAGCTGCTAGTCTGCTAAAAATGTGAAAGTATGGCACATCTGAGCATCACAGCACTGCAAGCAACCAGATCTAGGTGTCAGAGAGTGAACTGGGGACTTGAGTGCAAAAATCAACAGGACCTGTATAGATCTGGTTTTTACCTTTTTCCTATTAACTGCAAAGGACTCACTGCAAAAGACTCACCCTGAGTCATATCTTTACTGCTGCAAACCCTTGATTCCTTAGCGAGTGCATGTTGGTGTAGTAAGTAGCAGGAGGGGAGAGAACATAGGTTATTTACAAATTTAAGTATAAGCAGTAACTTTTTGGGAGGTGAGGAGTTCATGGGTTCTTTTCCTTCCACGGGGCTCCTCATCTGAAATAGAATCAATCATTTCCACTTATTATAGCCCTTTACATGGTTGGGGGGAGGAATAAATGAAACTTCATTTCCCTTCTCCCTGTTAAATCAGCAGTGTGTGAGAGGAAATCACTAAGGCATGCAAAGAGGAGGGAGGGTAAAGAGAGGAAAGCCCCTGAACCAGTATCCTTTATTCTTGCAATTCTCTGAGCTCTGTTGCCTGCCTGTGAAGCCAGGGCTAGATCCTTTTAAAGAAGATAAGGAGCGGTGTCTCCAGCAATGACTTCATGTGAAACAATTCCTTATAAAGTCTTAAAAGAACACAGAGGGTTGCTCCTGCCAGCATGTCCCAATTTTAGGCTTTGTGGTAATCTGGAAGGAGCTTCGGGTAATGGGGAAGTGAACCTATAAAAACTTCAACTCAAGCCTTTGATTTTTTTTTTTTTTTACTGAGTTTTACATGGAGGAATTTTTTTAATCTCTTTTCTCTTATCCAAAGAGGTAGTCAGCTTCCATACTCATTTTTAGTATGCATGGATTTTAAATTATTTTAATTTCTGAGAAACGCAGATTACATCCCGGATAGAGCCTGGATATTAAATACATAGGGGCTTAAAATAAATTGCGCTGCTTAATTTAGAGTCTGATTCCAGAATAAGAGGGGTCCTTGCTTTGTGGTGATTTTTGAATTTGCAGCTGTGTATAATCATGGAAGGCATTTCTACAGGAAAGTTCCAAGTGGAGAAGGAGGTAAGTGCTTTATAATTTCCCGAGGAAAGCGATGAGAATATTTTCCCCCCTTTTTGTTCGCACACTTTTTCCTCATGTGATCTGGTTCATCAGAAACCTAAAAGAGAAAGCCAGGGCAATCATCTATCAGGGCAAAAGCAAAAGGGTACTTCTCAAGGGGCTCATTCATTTCACATATGGGCAAGCCTTTCTCTTATAACACTACTAGTCTGATTGGGAACTATGCAGCAATTATTTCATGTGTTGAAAAGAAACTTCTCTGTAATAAAAATTTTAAAGCCTTTGAAAGATGCTAAATTCACAGAAAGCTAGTGAGGTGAGATCTGAACAGACTGCACACAGAACAATTCCTACCATCATAGCCAGGTAGAAAGAAACACCCTATCAGCTCTGACACCCCTGGGGGCGCTCTAATCCACTCAAACATAAATCAACCTGAGAGGAACAGGCTGACACAGTAGCTCACTGGTTCATCACGGCAGAAAGAGATACCCTGAATTTCTTTCCTGCAGTCAGAAGTGCTCTCAGGTTTGGTCAGAAGCTAATGTACTGCAGAGAACAACTACCATCCAAATTACACCTCTTTCCAGCAGTGGATTTCACAAAGCAGCCTTCCCTTAGCACTCCCTGAATTATGAGAAAGGAGCAGAAAGATAAAGTTTCACAAGATCTGCTTCCTATCTCAGTTATCACTCCCTGACAGTGTGCAAAATCAGTTTATAACTCTTCTTAGGTAAACAAACCTTCCCCTGCCTTGTACTTAAATTGATAGCATAACTTCTACCAGATTTCTGGATTATTGATCAGAAAATTATAGGTGATTATATTAGACAGCCATATGGATTGAAAATGTGATCCTTCATCAATAGTTTAATGATTTTTGTAAGCACTTTGAGGCAGAAACAGTGTCTCCTCTATGCTTTGTATAGCTAGAAAACACACTGAGCATTTAGTAAGGGTATGTCTACACTACCACCCTCGTTCGAACTAGGGTGGTAATGTAGTCAACCGGAGTTGCAAATGAAGCCCGGGATTTGAATTTCCCGGGCTTCATTTGCATCTTGCCGGGCACCACCATTTTTAAATGTCTGCTAGTTCGGACTCCGTGCCGCGCGGCTACACGCGGCACGAACTAGGTAGTTCGGACTAGGCTTCCTATTCCGAACTACCGTTACTCCTCATTTCACTACCTAGTTCGTGCTGCGTGTAGCCGTGCGGCACGGAGTCTGAACTAGCGGACATTTAAAAATGGCGGCGCCGGCAAGATGCAAATGAAGCCCGGGAAATTCAAATCCCGGGCTTCATTTGCAACTCTGGTTGACTACATTACCACCCTAGTTCGAACTAGGGTGGTAGTGTAGACATACCCTAAGAGACAGAACCTTCTCCCATTGAAATGCATGTGAATTTTCCTATTAAATTTAAGGGAGAATAGAATGAGGCTTTAAGTGAGTTAATTAATTGTGACTGTGGATGTGGTTCTGTTTCCTAACTGAGGATATGCCCAATGACTTCAATCAGATTTTTGTCTGAGCAAACGTTGCAAGATCAAACCTCCATATTAACACTGTCTACTGTATTTAAAAATACTTTCTGTAGGATCAACAGAAAATGAAGTAAGGATAGGCAATATCCCAAACTTGTTCCTTCTGGATTATAAAAGAATGGTAGTGAAAGAGATACAGAGAGAATCCATGAATATAAAAACTAGTGTAATGACCTGATCCAAGTATCCACAGCTCTCACTGAAACCAGTGGCAATTAATGGTGCTGAACATCACAGAAGAAGCATTGAGCAGGTAGCTGGATTGCACTCTAAATCTGATTATTTGTCTTTAAATAAAAACACATATCACGTATGTAATCTGAACATGAATGAACTGACAAGATTCCCATTAGCTTCTATGTTTCTAGTATAAACTCAAAGAAAAGAGAAAAATGTGGGGTTCCGAAGCTGGTACAATAGTTAGTCAAGTACATCCTATTACCATTCTCCTGAATTCAGCGGAGGAAGGAATCGGAAATAAATATGACCCAGAAAAAGCATTGTATAGACGATGGGGGGAAAAATCAACTGAGAATCCAGCAGTCCAAGAAGCTAGGACCAATTATTGTATGATATGTTTCTTACATGGGATTCCTTGGAGTGAAGATTGTCTTGCAGCATCTCACAGAATTTGGAAAGGTTTCTATTGTTTCACCTTGACAGGTGATTTTCAATATTAGGACTGAAGATGCAAGTTCTAAGTTTCACTCTAAGTGCATGTAGGCCAAGGGGCTGTACAATTGCTTAAAATGTGTCTTTTGCTCCCATTCCACCCACATCTCTTCCCAGAGCTCCTGTTCCGTTCTCTGCCCTGGCCCTTTCTCTCTCCTGTCTGCTCCTATCCAACCCCATCAGCTGTTTGCTTCACTCTCCATCTGCACCTATTTTCTGTCTCCAGTTCTTCTGCCTTTGTCCACCCCACACAATCTCTCGTGCCTTTACCACTG